CCTGGCACCCCCGGCCCGTGGCACCCCCGGCCCCTGACACCCCCGCCCTCAGCACGGGGCTGCAGGCTCCTGGAGCGGACAGCGTGAGCCAAGTTAGGGCTCCCTTTGTTTTCTTCCCGCTGCATGACAGCACGTAGATATAAAAACAGGGTGTTCTGCCAGCCAGCCTGGAAGTGGGAACTGGTGACAGGAAATCCACAAGTCTTCCCGTGCCACTTTTCAGTTATCTGGAAAATGCCTGTCTGTTACAGAATCCTAGAGTGGTGTCGCTTGGAAAAGGTCTTAGAGATCAAGTCCACCACTGAATAGTGTCCCTGAGCACCACATTTGCATGTCTTCTAAAAATACCTCCAGGGATGGTGGCTCCACCACTTACTTCTCTGGGCAGCCTGTTGAGTTTTTGACAACCCTTCAGGTGAAGAAATTTTTCCTAATAGCGAAACTAAACCTCCTCAGGCACGACTTGAGGCTATTTCCTCTGTCACAAGTTCTTGATCCAGCACTGGCACTGGCAGCCTGCAATTAATGTAGAAGTCATCCTGACCATGTACCTCGGCTCTTCCTTAGTATTAGTCAAACAGTCAATCATATACTGGCGATGGGGTGTGATCTGAGTATTTGGCTTGTCAAGCCAGAAGGATTTATTAAATGACCAACTCAATGGGCTCCCTTGAATTACTTTAAGTTTCTGTTGCAGTCTACCTTGTAGAAAACAATATCACAGTTTAATATTAGAGGCTAATGTGTGGCATACTGATGTTTCATGAACAGTATTGTAATAATGGTGTGAAGGAATTCAAATTGTCTCCCTTTTCTGCTGTACTGTAGGTGAGGTTCACAGTGACTGTTGCTCATTTAGCATCTGTTTAAGGAACTGGTGAGGGGAAAATACCCAAGCTGAGTGCATTTGTATGCTTCTGTAACTTTGCCAGACTTCAGCTGTTCATGTTGTAAATCTCAGCAGTCTGTTACCTAACTTTGGATAAATTTTTTACTATTTTTTTTTTCTTTAAAACAAAACACTGTGATAATTTTTTGTCCTACAGGTGCTTGGCTGAGCAGTTGAGACACTAAGCAAAAAATTATTGCCAGGCCTAGCACCTCTGTTCTTGAAGGAGGTATCAGGGCTTGATGTGGTTTCTGTATTGGAGTTGGGCTTTTTACACCTTTTTTTCACTAACAGTGTTCAAATCTGCTAGTTTTAAATCACAGAATCATAAAATGGTTTGAGTTGGAAGGGACCTTAAAGAACATCTAGTTCCAGCTCTCCTGCATGGGCAGGGACACCTCCCACTAGATCAGGTTGCTTAAAGCCTATCTAGCCTGGTGAACACTTCCAGGGTTATGGCTTCCACAGCTTCCCTGGGCAACCAGTTCCAGTGTCTTACCACACTCACACTAAGGAATTTCTTCCTAATGTCTAACCTAAATCTCCCCTCCTCCAATTTTCATCCATTACCCCTTGTCCTTTCACCACAAGTCCTTGTAAACAGTCCCTCCCCAGCTTTACTGTAGCCCCCTCACATACTGGAAGGCCACTATAAGGAGTCCCTGGAGCCTTCTCTTCTCCAGGCTGAATGCTGGAGAGCGCTTCTTTTTAACTAGAAACTGGGACTTGAGTTGCTGTGCCTTCACAAGAGGAGGACTGAAGTGTCTACCTCCAGTGCAAGGAATCAAATTGTGAGGAAGGTTGTGGGAGAAATAAACTGAGTGAGCTGGGAAGGGGGATCTGTAAGGTGATGCAAGGAGGGCAAGGATGTTTTGTGGGAAGGTGACTCTCTAGTTAATGTCTGTCCTCATGTACACAGCTCCGTGATGCTTACACAGTACAGTAGGCTTGATTTGGTGATCTACTGTGTTTTTTCTTCTGTACAACAGAGGAAGATGAGGTTTTAGCTTACCTGAAAGCAGGTACCTCTTGAAGAAAAAGCATGCTTGAAACTTGCTTCAGACCATAAAGTATGGAACCATAATTCCTTGAGAACCACTCAAAGCAAAAGGCCTATGATGGGAAGGGAGGAAGAAGGAATCTAGGAGTTCTGCTAAAACATGTTTTACTGATCTCCTTTCTTACGGACAAAGGTGATTATTGTTTCCCCCAACACCTCTTCCCTGTCCTGCCTGGCTCACCATATTTTGAATTCAGCATAATAGTTGTCCATGAGTTCCTCTAATTCCGTCTTTTATCTGTATCTGGATGTTTTCCCTCGTTTTTGGCATAATAAGATAAACTTATGTCTTGTCTTACTAATGAACATTTAGTGTAAACAACAGAAGGAATAGCTAACAACTTTGAGAATGAAAGCCAACAGCAGGATTTTTTCACCTTTGAGAAGAAAAGCCAACAGCAGAAATAGACTAAGCATTTCAGCACTTCGAAGCCAGCCTGTCTACCCAGTGCATATTTTATTCCTGCAGCACTGACTGCTAAAGAGGATGTATATTATTTAATTCAGCTTACTGTTTTGCAATGTGCAGGGAACAGTGTTAACCTTTGGGCACTAGGACTTAGCAAGGACTTTGCACAGTTGTAAGTGGTTTATTTGACCTTTTAGTGATGAGAAAGTTTTTCAAATGTAGTATATTGAATGTTTTTTGCAGTTTCAACCGTGTTGTAGAGGGACATTTTTGGTTGTTTTTTTTAAGAAAGAAAAGTAGTCTACTAAGTTCATTCCTTTCATCCCTAAATCTGAGTAGTTATGTTGTATTGAGTATTGAGTAGCATTTTGCAAACAAGGGTTTTGGAAACAGGAGAAGTAATCCACAACTTTTTAACTGTAGTATTACCATATCTAGAGTTCTGTCTGTTTTGTTAGTAGATTCAGTTAAGTGCTGGTGCTGCTTTCACCTTTAAGGAAAAGGAGGAAAGTATTCAATACTACCAAACAACTATCTTCTTCTTCCTGGTTATAGAATACTGTAATGAAATGTGTACATTAATTGGTTTTAAAACATCTAATAAAAACTTACTTCTCTCTAATCCCCATTCCATTCTCTTAATTTTGCTAGTATTGTCATGGCACAACCTGTCTGGCAGTAGAAGTTGTCTTTTTAGCCCATATTACTTATTTTGTGTTTAAAATTAATAAGCCTTAAAGTATTACTTCTCTTCAAAAAAAATTGAGTGTGTTTTTGAAAACCTGGGAGTTACAGATTTATTGGTCTTCCTCTAAAGTTGAGGAAATACTGATGATGTACAATGAGTACACTGAACTTTGATAGCTGAAGCTACTGAAATTTCAACCTAGGGTATGTAGAACAACAGTAACATGAAGTGCAAATGGAATTCTCTCCCCTGGCTTCTGCATCCATATGTCTGTACTCAGAAAATACAGATTGGATTCAGTAAACTCTATGCAAAGAAAATAACTATTCTTAAGTCTTCCTTAGTTGTATCTCTAAATCCGGTAGAACTTACAGTAGAACTATAAGGGACTTAAGAGTAGTTAATCCACTCCATGCTTTGAGTAAGGCAGAACCAGTAGGTATTTTGCAGTCTCTGAGTAGTTTGTCAGAAATGTTCTTGACAAACTCAGATACTGAGTTCCTTTTTTGGGGGTTGTTTTGTTTTCCTGCCAGTTTATGATTTGGAGTTGCATATAAGAACAAAATGTGAAAATACTGACTGTGCTGATAAAAGGGTTATCCAATAAATAGAAGTTGGTTGCATATGTTCAGTTTAGATGCATTTTTATGTGTCACTGATTTTAATTCTAAGCATAATGCTTTTCCTCAGGGATCCCTGTCCAAAAATGCAGTCTGAATTTGTAATTTTTAAGAAAAAAAATAGATGTGCTGTGAACATAGGAAAGAGCAATTGTCCTTACTACTTCAGTGAAGGGAAAGGGAGGAAATATTGCCACGTGGGGAGTGATTTGTCTGATTCGGAAAAGGTAACAGCACAGTTGAAGAGGACAATGACAAGACATTCATGGTACGGTCACAGGAATTCCTAAGCCACATCTTTGTTCTTGGAATGGATTGTGGGTCCGGGATCTGTCTACAACTACCTTAAGTGTGGAATGACATCCAGCTATTAAAGATTTTAATGATCATGAAAGATTTTTCCTGGAGGATCAGATTGATTAGTGCTGAGTTGTTTTTGACTCTGTGTAACATCAGTTGAATGGAATTATAGCAGGATAAAAGGCTGCTTAATTCATCATAGCTTAGAGACAGAATTAATGCATGCCCTGTAGGCATGGCACAGTGTCATCAGAGGATCAGAAGCAGCAGAAATATGCACAGAGAAGCACACAGAGGAAAAAAAAAGGGGGGGGATGGGGGTGAGGAGCTGAGGCGCAAGATTTCATCAGCTGGATTTGAGCTCTTTGCTCAGGATGTTCTCCAAATGGATCAAAAGATTTATGGTACTTGCTGCTCATATCTTGTAATATTCTACAGCCTACCTTTGGCTATAGAGATAGGAGTACATTGTAACATTTGCAGCTGGCTGTTGTCAAATACTAGTTAAATACTCTGTCTGTACATTGGCTGCTAAGGTGGCAAAGGACTTTGTTCAAAGCAAATCAGTATTTTCATACCATATTTTTCAAGCACCACATTTTTTCCTGTTCTGAAATCCCTGGTTACTTTCAGAAAATTTTTTAAACTGGCAACTAGAGTAAAATTTGATTCTAAATTTTAGCCAACAGCACTCCTGTGCATTTCTCTAGTTTAATTTGTTTTCTTTCTCAGTCTTTCAGAGGCAGCTGCAGTTCTATTCTGAAATTTAAGTCTGTGTTAAGTATGACTGGTTATCTCTCCGTGTAGTGCCTGGTGTACTACCTATAGATTTTGTGCTTTGACATTTAAACCATGACTTTAAGTTGAATATAAAAGGTCTATGGTGAAGATAATATTATTATATAAGACTGTGTTTTCAGTTGAAGATTTAACAGTGCTTGATACATAGCAACTTGAATAAATATTCTTGTCAGGGTGTACTCTTTCTTTGCTACAAAGGCTCTGGTCATACAGGTTCTCCAGAAGTGGTCTTCACTCTTCAATTAGTCCATGTGACATGGAAAGTAAATGAGAAGTTTGTAAAGAAGAAATAATAGATTAATGCTTAGTCATGCTCAATTCAAAAGCAGTTATTTTTCTGACCTTGCCTAGAAAGGTGCCAAATAGCAACTTGCTGCTCGATTGGTAGGAGTGATGTGGTTTGATGTGGACAGGGTTAAAATACCAAAACATACATAAATCCAGATGTATGGGTTACTGATGACTACTTATGCCAACCTTAAATGTCCCAGAACTATTTGTTTCATTTGTCCTGAAGTGAAGCACTGGTTGCAAAGTCTCCACCTTGTCACTCTGAATCAATGCAAAGGTAGTTTTTATTGCAAGCACTGATGTTTTTCTAAAGGATCATTGCAAACAAGGGTAGAATGCTTGTCACAACCATAAACCACTTATGTATACAGAGAACTGAGTTAAACTGCATGTATAGATCAGTGTTTTACAGCTTTGAGTATGCTATAAAGATAAAATACATACTTAGTTTTGTGAATCAGATCCAAGATGTTAAACTGTATAAAAGTTTAAGAGAAACACCTATTTATAGATGTGGCTGTAGTCTCTGAACCACATGTCTTATTTTCCCATTCCAAAGTTTTAAATATTTTAAAAATGTACATAAAAAATTGAAGCAAGATTTTGTATACCCACTTCAATCAAAGCTTTAAAAGATTAATTGCTTTCTTCATTTTTTATTTTTTAAATCTAACCATTCCATTTATTGTTTAGGAACTTTGATTTTGGGTTTAAAAGTCAAGTCAATTTAATGTTCAAAAACCAGTGCAAATTTTTAACATTAATTTTCCATAATCTTTTGGGCTTTGTGGTAGCAATGTGTCTTGCCATGTCTGTTGCTTCATGGAGACAGACGTCTGCTTAATTTTTCCGTGGTTGAGTGAGAATAAAGATTTTTAGAGAAAATAAGTTGTAGTTCAATAAATGGGAAATCTTTTCTATTGCTGAATTCAAGTCTGACCCAGTGCAAGATAGCTAGCAATGCCTAGCCTTCTCTTACCAAACTAATTTGTGGTGGAGTTGTAGTGGTCAGTTTTGAGATACTGTGGTACCTCTTTGCTTGCCAGGGCAGCATTCCTAATGCTACATGGCTTTCTCCCAGTGAGGATGACTCCCAGCAAGTGTGGGATGGATTCCTCGGGCTTCTTGGGGTGTCCTTTCCATCCTGGACTTTTTCCTGTCTTTTCTAACACAACTTTTTGCCCTCAGTCACTGCTGGTTTTTGCAAGTATAAGGCTGTTTAGCAGCACTGGCTACTGAATGCACTGTTCCTGTTTCTGGCTGCCTGTGGCTCTGGGCAAGCAGGGACCAATGTTTCTTGCTCAGGTAATAGGTATCTGGGTTGATAGAAGTCCTGCATATGTCCCAGCCTGAGCCCTGATTCTGATGAGCTGTGCAATGAAACAGGATGTAATGTTAGTGTTATACTCTGCTAGTACTGAACTGTAAATGACATCCTGACACTTTAGCAGTGGAAGGCTGATTGTTAATGAAATTGGCCCCTGCAGTATCTCGGGCAAACAGAGCTGTACCTTTTTAATGACTTCTTGAGGACAGGTCATGGTTTTTTAATTATCTCTGTCTCTGAATATACAGGAGTATTATTCCATTCCTTTCTGCAAGGGTTTTATCCTGTTTTCTCCCAGATTGTAGAAATTGCTTAACTGTTGGGATTGACGTATCCTTGGCATTAATTTTAATCGTTGTGGATAGACATAAATGCTTTTTACCCTTATTATTCCTATGCTATTTGGCTACCAGTAAGTGAATTTGCAGCATGTAAGCTGATATTTATTAATGGCAGTCTGACCCACTTTTCTGTGCACTAAGAGCACTGAGTATAACCCCTCGGAACAGAAATGAGAAAACTGCCAGAAAGACTGGTATAAATGACTCACAGAAGGCTATGTGATCAAATACTATTGAATAATATAGCAAAGCTGTATCACTGAATCTGCTGAAAAATAGAGAATCTGCTTTAGTAAATATATTGTGTGCTGTTCAGAAAGTGGAGGAAATAGCAGAAATTTCTTTGATCAAATAAAAATTTAGAGGAATATTTTTTCTGTTACAAAATTGTTTTCCATGCACTTAAATAGTGTGGTTTTTAGAGTTAAATGTGTCATGTGGTTACCCTGATAAGCCATTGTATTGTGTTCATTCTACAAATAGAGAAAGTTTAATTTTTAAGATAAATTTATGGAGGAGTTTGATTTGTAAGACAAAAAAAAAATACTCCTTTTATTTCCTTTGGACTCAAGGTATTGCAGATGTTTGTCCATTATGTTCCCACACATTACACCTTCAATTTAAAAAGGCTTCACTTTGTGAAAAGCGGCAGGTTATTGGATAACCTGTGTCTTCCTCTGTGTTACCATCTGAGATCATGTTTTGTTAAGCAGTGCAGCCGGTCTCATTGTAAATACCAGTTGCAGTAAGTGTGGAGAAAACAGATGGTAAGACTGAAGATACCAGCACCTCTCTTCAGCCTTACCTCATCTACTTCAGCCTCTTAACAGTGGTTGCAACTCAGGAGCGTATGAAATAACTCTGAGTTACACTCAGGTCATAAAAGAAATTAAACTGACAGGATATATTAAAAACAAACAAACAAACAAACAAAAAACCTCACAAGAAACAAACAAACCAACCCGAAAAAACAGTTCTTAATCTGCTGGGATTAACTGGACATCTTTTAGCACTTATGTCTTAGCCTTCATGGTGTGCAGCTGCTGACTGCCAGGAACATTTGGCTTCTGAGCTGGACACCATAAAAGCTGAAAAGATGGTCTTTGGGGCAAGTGCAGATTCTGAAGAGTGCATTTCATCCTGGAGGTGGACAGAAGTTGAAAGTCTCCAACACATTTAATTAATATATTTTATCCAAGGTTAAGGGGGAGATTAAGGGGGGGCATGGAAGATAACAACTGCTCTCACAGCAGTGTTCTATGCCATTCCCTTGTTAGAGGAAAAAATACCACAAATCATTTTGAAAGGTTGGTTAAAAAGATTTCAGTTTGAAACTGGTGATTCTGCAATCTGTGCTTGGCTGTGACTTTTTAATTAGCAGAAGTAGTTATTCCAAGAAGACTGGCAAAATTTCTGCACACCTTACTAACCATATCAAGTCAACAAAGAAAATAGTAATTTGAGTAGTGGTTAGAATCATAGAATCTTAGGGGCTGGAAGGGACCTCTAGAGATCATCTAGTCCAACCCCCCTGCCAGAGCAGGGTCACCTAGAGTACATCACACAGGAACTCATCCAGGTGGGTTTTGAATGTCTCCAGTGAGGGAGACTCCACAACCTCCCTGGGCAGCCTGTTCCAGTGCTCTGTCACTCTCACAGTAAAAAAATTTTTTCGGATATTCACCTTGAACCTCCTATGCTCCAATTTGCAACCATTACCCCTTGTCCTATCACTGGTCATCACTGAGAAAAGCCTAACTCCGTCCCCCTGACACTCACCCCTTACATATTTGTAAACATTGATGAGGTCACCCCTCAGTCTCCTTTTCTCCAAGCTAAAGAGACCCAGCTCCCTCAGCCTTTCCTCATAAGGGAGATGTTCCACTCCCTTAATCATCTTCGTAGCTCTGTGCTGGACTCTTTCAAGCAGTTCCCTGTCCTTCTTGAACTGAGGGGCCCAGAACTGGACACAATACTCCAGATGTGGCCTCACCAATGCAGAATAGAGGGGGAGGAGAACCTCTCTTGACCTACTAACCACACCCTTTCTAATGCATCCCAGGATGCCATTGGCCTTCTTAGTTTGTTCTAATCTGCGTGGTCAAGCACTTTTAAATTACACATCAGCTCTAAATATGTCTCTTTTTTTTTTTCTTTTTTTTTCTTTTTTCCCCTGGTGGATGACTGTTTACTTAAAATTTTACAGTTCTTGTGCATTATTGTACTGCAGCATCTCTGCTTCTCAGTCAAATGTGTGTATATGTTCTCTCAGCTTCTCTCTTGCAGTTGTCTAGATGGATATTTAGCATATCAGGCTCTAAAGATTTCTCTTAGCTTGGAAAGCTCCACAGATGGAGTCTGTACAGCATGTCTGGGCAACTTCCTCCACTGGTAGACTGTTCTGATGGTGGAAGAAGTTTCCTTGTATCAAATCTGATCTTGTAATTTCAACAAATACCAACTGTCTCTTGTCCTCCTACCCTGTGCCATTATGAGGAGCCCAGCTCCAGCTTCTCATTGCCTCCCTGCAGACCCTGTTAGGCCCTCCCAAAGCCTTGTCTTCTCTAGGCTGAACAAGCTCTGGCCGTGCACCCTTGGCTCAGAGGATTAGTGATTGAGTCCCTACCCGTTTGGTCTCTCTCTCCAGGACTTGTTTCTTTGATGTGGGGGGCCCAATGTTCTGGATGTGGTCTAATGAGTGCTGCCTGTAGGAGGACAATCCCTTCCCTTGACTGACTGGCCATGCCCCGCACCCAGGAGGCTGGTGGCCCCCTCTGCTGCCCAGCTGCTGCTGGCTCCTGCTCAGCTCGCTGCCTGCCAGCACCCCCATGGCCTCTGCCACAGAGCTGCTCCAACCCAGCACCCCCAGGCTGTATCACTGCAGGGGTTGTTTCTCTACAGGTGCAGAACTTGGCCTTTGCCCTCCCTGAATTTCATGTTAGCCCGTTCCCTGTTTGGGTCCCTCTGGATGGCAGCCCTGCACACGAGCACACCAGCTGGTGTCCCCAGGGTGGTCTCATCTGTAAACTCTTCCAGAGTATTAGTTAAGGTGCTGAGCAGCACTGGTCCCACAGTACATCCTTGCATTGTGCGAGCTATATTCAAATAATGACTTTCACTCTACCAAAAAAACTGTGTTTAATACATTGAAGTAGGATGGCATGGCTGCTTGGCCTTTCAGTAGGAGTTGCCTTGTGCTTGCTGTTTGAAGACCAGCCTAATGCAGCCATTTTTGTTAGCAAACAAGAGCAGATGAGAAATCCACATAGCTATTGTCCTCTTGCTTGCAATTTTAAGTGCCAGTATATTACAGTTTGTTGGCTGCTTTGATTAGGAGGGATGAAACTGTGGTGGAGTGGTGTCATTCGAAAGAGAGCATCATGGGGTTTTGGTCACTGGGGAGTTTCTGATCTCTCTGAGATATCTGTTGTGGGGTGTTGGTTGGTTGTTGTTTTTTAAATGATGTGACCAAAAGTGTAATACCGGTGTAAGAAAAAGATTTATTCTCTTTCATAACTGCAGTGAGTGTTACATGGTACTTGTGTACTCTACTCCATTGCCTCTCACACTTACACCTTTTTCACTTTCTTACTATCCTCAAATCCTCTAATCCATGGACAGGTCCTTAAAGGAAATGCAACTTTGTTTGCTTTTGATTTTTATACTTTGGAGATGTAAGGTATCACTGAATATTGCTGGCAAAACCAGTTCTGGAGTCTGGCACTGCTGCCTCAATAACAGAATATGCATACAAACAAACCTGTACAAGCACAGATAAAGAAGTAGCTCTTCTTCAGAGGTGGCTTTTCTTGTGTTAAACTTAGGCAACTGTAGATAAGTGTAGGTGCTAGTTCTCAGGAACTGAGCACGGGAATGAGAGCCCAAAAACCTTATAAGCAATTGATGTTGTCTACCTAATCTTGTGATGAATGTACACAGCATAAAAGCTTAATAGTGTGTGGCCTTAAGCTTGTGTTGTTTGATCAATACTCTTCCCTCTTTGGCTGAAAAACAAAAGTTTAAAGCACTCAGTTACATCATTTGCTATTTAAACATCATTTTTACTCTTTCTTTTTTTCTTATTTTTCAGTGACAATGACAAATATTGGAGAAAAAGGTAAGATTTTTTTATTAGCTGTTTATAAGTTAAATTCATATGTCAGGGTAGATTAGTAGTTTACTAGTAGAATTGAGGTACAGATCTAACCTGTTTTAAGTAGGTGTATTTGTGTTCCTCAGCTCCTTTTACTATCCTGCAGTTCCTGATTGTTGCTTTAGCATTCCAAACAGAGATGAGAAAAATTAGAACTTTTACTCTTCTTAGTGACTTTCTGAAGTGTCAACTAAAATAAACCTTATAGCATATTTCTAAGAAATTTCATTCATATCAAGGAAAGCTCTTGTAAAACCAGGACTTCTAAAGATGAGCAAAGTTTTGAGCAGAGTGTGACATACTTAAGTGGGAGATAAATTTTTTCTGCAGTTTCTTTTTAGCAAGTGTCTTTGAAGAAACAGAATCTTTCAGATACTTAACCTTTTCAGAAGATTAATAAATTGCCTGACTAGCTGTCATTAAGAGTTCCTACCACAAGGCTGCAGCATGTTTAGGTTGCTTTTCTAGGTGCTATTTTAGTACTATAGCACAACATGGCAGTGTAAAGTGTGGGCCTGCAGAGCTTTTGGAGGAAGGTATTTGGTTTAGGAGACAAATTGTATGCTTTTATGTTTGTATAATTCCAGCAGGTTTTATTAAGTCATTAGCAACTACCTTACTTAGAATAAGCGTTTGCCAATCAAGAAACATTTATTGAAAATCTTTTTTCAGTTCAGTAATCTGCCCCCCCATGGGAGTGCATAAGTGTATCTGCAAACTTCCAGCACCTGAAGACTTTGAAATAATTCCAGCTACTTGCTGCTCCATACTGTGTGTGTGTGTGTAGCACTCACAAAGGCATCGCTCACAAAGCACATTAGAATGATCACCAAAATGCATTGAGGAACATTACATTTCCTTATTTTTATCTGTTTAAAGCCTTGGTGAGCTTCAGCCAGTCAGGTTGTACTTCTGTACAATTGTGGTTCTTATGTTGGACTCTATAAACACCCACAGCCCCAGTGGAGCAGCTGGGTAGCCCAGGGTCTCCGTTGTGGTGCAGGGAAATTGGTGGGTAGGTGACTAGGGAGAAGGGACTGGTCAAGACCTGGGCCAGGTTGAAGAAATGAGGTGCAAGAGGAAACAAGAAGAACAAGACGAAGTCTTATGCAGACTTTAAAGGGGAAATATGGAATAATGTCTTTATGCTAAAATTATCTTCCTCCAGGATTATTTTTTTTGAATGTATGAAAAGGAATTTTCTTAGAATCACAGTTACCATTATTCTCACAACAATAAAATATAGATGCAGACTAGTAAAGACACTGTACAGAATGGACGTAACTTGCCCTATCTTGACCTTCTTTATGCTACAAATATGCTGTTGTTTAAAAAACTAGTGATTTTGTTGGAGTAAATTAGGGGGGTTTTCAGTTGATAGAAGTGTTAAGATTAAACTGTGGACTGTTCCTTCCAGATGCTTGTGCAATAACAATGTGGTCATTGTGCTTGATGTGGAGTGGAGTTCTATCAGTTTTATTGATGACATTTTATTCAGTTTATAGACGTGGCATATGGCTCTTTTCCCCTGTCATCCCAAAAGCTTTGTAGAGTGTTGCTCCTCAGATTTTGTTACCTTTTGTTTATTTTTTTAACTGCCTAGTGAATTAAGAGTAAATATTTACTGTGTTGCTTTTTGAGTAAACAAACTTCAACACCAGAAACATTTATTCAGTGTTACTTTTGAGGCAAAATTACAAAAACGAAGAACATGCTGAGCTGCTGTACCTGTATTTCTACACAGCATCATGTATGTCTTATGGAAAATTCTCTAGCACTGAATGGCATCACATACATAAAAACATGGGCTAACTATGCAAGGGCAGTATTAAGGTTGCGTAGTGAAAGCACGTTTCCCTTTATGATGTTTTTTGTATGATTTTAGGAATTTGTAGAAGTTGTATGAAGACTGTTTGACCATATAGCTTCTATAAAACCTTGAGCGCTCTATGATCTGAGTTCATCTATACAGCAAGGAAGTATTTTTCACCATTGCTGTCCTAGCTGTCCTTTATTTGCTGGTTCTCTGCTCAAGGAGGAAAATTCCAAGGAAGCTATTAACCATTCCCCTCAAACTTTTGTAACACAGGTAGCCAGTATTGTGACTTTCCCCACACAGTCTGTATTTGTCTCATGTAAAATTGTAGCACAATATTTTGTTGCAAAGCTTTTGCAGGGCCTCTGTGTTTATATCTGTTAGACTATCTATCTATGATATGTACAGCATCCGTTTTCCAGTACTATAATATCACTGGTCTGTTTGTATTAATTCTGTTCCTTTTTGATTTTAGTTGTGTGCCTGGTTGCTTACCACATATTTTTCATGCTGTTCGTCTGGTCATATTGGAAAACAATCTTTACGCTACCAATGAATCCTTCAAAAGAAGTAAGATAAACTTAACTTCTGTTTCTGAAATAGCCTAGTCAAATGCCTAATGTGATAGTATTAGAATAACTTAGACTCTCATCTCATGTAGTTTTACACTGTGTAGAAAAATAGAAATGGCACAAGTACTTAAAGGAGCTGGTCAGATTGCAAACAGTGTAACAACCAAGACCAAAAAAAATTACACCTTCTCTAAGTTTGAAATGTTTTGAAATAGATTTTTAAAATTAGATAATATGTATGATATTAAGAATTAAAAAACATCTCCATTTGAAAAATGATGTGTTATTTAAACTAGCAGAATAAATCTTTGCACACGATTATAATACTTCTATGTGGGCAAAATATTTATTTCCCTGTGCTTAAGACTTACATTGCCTGCCGACATCTGTCTGTTGTCTTCTGAATTCAGGATTCTTTCCCCTTTTTTGGTTATGAAGGAACTTGGGGGTGGTGGCATGGGTGCATAACAGGTAAGCTGATGCTGGGAAGCCACAGCTGGCCAAGCGGGAACAGAGCTACTATAGAACAGCTGCATGGAGGAGAGTTCTGGGTAAATGTATACCCTGTTGCCCTGGAGAATACTGAGATACAAAACCATATTCAGCATGATGTGGCCTTAAGATAATTGCTTTTAGTACAGTACGGGGTTTTTTTATTATTATTATTTTAATTTCAAATTCTTTCTAATATTTAAAGATAAAGCTGCAAATAGCCTTGATTAACATCCTCCAAATGCAGTTATAACTGACACATTTTTTTCACCTTTTCCATGCTGTCCTTGTCCAGAAACCCCACAGTCCTCTGTAGGTGCTGTGCCACACAACCTCTGAGGTCAGGAGGAATCATGGTGTGGCTGGTCTGGAGTTGGAAATGCCCACAAAGCCAATACTTACTTTGGCATGGACTCATACCTTTAGCTCATGTAACTACCATGCCAACACAAAATAAATAGCTTCTGATTTCTACTGTGTTGTGTTGAGGTTCTTTTCTGATTAGTTTTACTTCACTAATAAGATATGCAATTGTGCAAACAAGTAGATAATTCCAAGTAATTCACATCTTCCTTGTATTTCCCACTGCAGTCTTTTCTACAGCTTGGGGTGGAGAGGAGTGAAATAAACTAAGAACCTATTTCATTTGGTAATTACATGGCAAATATATGCATGTAATATGATGACTGTAGCAATAATTAGAAGGGTTTTCAAATTACAGGGCTGATGCCAATAAAAGGCTTCCAAAACATTTTGACAAATTCTTAGTAATTATTGTGGGATTCCAAAGCCATCAAACAATCCTGCTGGAGAACTTCAAATGAGATATTAGAAGCATTAAAGGAGGATAATAGTGAGCAATGTGTGTTGTTTCTGTGTCCTTTCAATTTACACAATGTTGCTTGGCAGTAAGTGACATCTTTGTTGTTCCATGTATTTTTTCCTAATCCACTAGAGCAGTATTTTAAAAATTTAATTAGATCATTTTGTACTGTTACACTACTACTTAGCTTCCAGTTTCTAGGATAAATCCTGCAAATATAAAAGGATATATTTTCAACATAACTGAACTGACTTACCAACTATAGAAAATACTTGTTTGAAAATGCAGAAACAGATGAAGCTTTTGTGTTTTGTTTTCATGAATACTGCAGCTGGTGCAAACCACACAGCCTGTATATTTCCTTTTCAGCTTATTTAAACTTTTTACACCTGTGAAAAACACTAAAGTTCTGGCTGCAGTTTCTCTGTGAAAGACTTTGAGGGACATCACTTTAATATGTGCCATTCTGTACCTGTGTGTACAAGCTATATACAAGCATTGCATGAAGGTGGGAAAGAAGATGGTTTCCCAGGCAGGATTGTTTTGTAGACTTAGGACTACTCTGAGAACCAATATGAAATGATGGAGCAATAGTTCTGTGTACATCAAATGGGAAGCATTTAAAAAAAAGAAAAGGAAAAGGGTATTCTGAACCAAGTTTCTAAGTTTCTGTGTTGATAAATCCTGTGTATTCCAGTATAAATGTAAGTGTTTGCAAGGGTGTATTCTTCTGCTGGAAGATTGTGAGCTTTGCCAGGAAGGTAGAGTGGTGGCTTCTCTGTGGAGGTAAGAATAGGCTCCTAATTGTATGTTTCTGTCTGCTTTCTTAGTTTTACATGCATCACTTTGATTTAGGAAAAAAAAATAAATTATTGTAATGTACCTTTCTGTAGACATAAATGCTATGCAGAGGGCTTCTTTTTCTAGTACAGGTTAGAGACAGCCACTCATCCTGCCAAATACAGACTTCTTTTCAGGGGTGGTTTTGTGTCCTATTTCTTTGATGGAGGTACCGAAGACCTTGGCATCTGGCCATTTCTAGAAGCTACATGAACATAGTTGACTATGTTGCTGGGTTGCAAAGGAATTTAGGGGAGAAGAAATTTGGACTACTTAGTGTATACCGGGCATCTCTTTCAGTAATTTTTACCGTCTCAGCTCTTGCTAGGGCAATTTTTGTTATTGGCGTTTTGGGCAGTGACTGAAGTTCTCCTTTTGTGCAGAAGGATGTTAAGATGCGGTTATTCTGTCATACAGGACGCCCACCTCTTCCTTCTGTTGGTTATTCTCTGAAGTAAAAACACATCCTAACACTTGCATGAACAGATCAGCAACTCTTGAGTGGCAAAGAATAAAATGGCAGATGCCCGACACCGAAGGGAAATAGAGTTATCTGTTCTGCTGTTACCAGTAGTGTGTTTTCTTTCAGTACAAGGCTGACATACTTAGTTTCTATTCACTAGCTAATACTTAGTACTTTAGTTTTTAGGTGCCATAAACTAAATTAGTGGTCTTGGCAACACCGGGTTATTTTCTGTTATACCTTGTGCATGCTGATAATCCATCTTTACATAATGAATATTTATTTTTCTTTGCATCTCTACAGATACTTATTCAATCTGAAGTTTGCTAATGTAACTTTTGATTTTAAAAAATATTCCAGTTTCATCTATCATATTCAGACAAGGAATCCCTAGAGAGGGAGCCTAGAGGTGAATCCCAGCAAGAAGTCTTAAGACGGGCAGCCAAGGATCTTCCTATCTATACACGGACAATGTCTGGAGGTAAATAGGTGTTCAGGAGACTACCAAAGGCAGGTGTCTGGAGGTACTATCTCAACTAATTAGGAGGCTGACATACTTAGTTTCTATTCACTAGCTAATACTTAGTACTTTAGTTTTTAGGTGCCATAAACTAAATTAGTGGTCTTGGCAACACTGGGTTATTTTCTGTTATACCTTGTGCATGCTGATAATCCATCTTTACATAATGAATATTTATTTTTCTTTGCATCTCTACAGATACTTATTCAATCTGAAGTTTGCTAATGTAACTTTTGATTTTAAAAAATATTCCAGTTTCATCTATCATATTCAGACAAGGAATCCCTAGAGAGGGAGCCTAGAGGTGAATCCCAGCAAGAAGTCTTAAGACGGGCAGCCAAGGATCTTCCTATCTATACACGGACAATGTCTGGAGGTAAATAGGTGTTCAGGAGACTACCAAAGGCAGGTGTCTGGAGGTACTATCTCAACTAATTAGGAAAAAAAAAAAAAAAAGTAAAAGTTTTGGATTGTAGGGAAGAACTGCTTTTCATACTTCTTAAGATAACAAAGTGACCCAGTAATTTAATTTGAATGTAGCTTTATGCAGCTACATGTATTCAGTGGAAAAAGTGTTGTGAATTGCTGCAAACAATGTAGGATTTTAGAGTGGATTGACAGCACCTTGCTAAATGTGTTCGAAGTGACATTAAAAAATACTTCTAACAGCAGAAGAAGCTGTAACAGTCTTTAACTGCACAGATTTCTTCTTTCATAGGCTGAAAAAAATTGGACAATTGCAAATTAATCACTATCTACATGTCACATATATTTAGATAGATGACAGTAAGACACTGTTACTGTTTTGCTTTCTGGTTGTTCAGTTGCAAGCACAAAAGTTCTTCCAAACTAAGAATTTGTGAATGCTGGCTAGCTGAGCAAATCCAAGAGATAACCTCATACAGTAAATTAAAGCTGTTAGAATCATTGCTTAAAATAGCTCTATTGTTAAACAGTCTTTAAAGGTTTTCCAGTCTAGTGAGGGTTTTGTGGGTTTTGTTGGTTCATTAGTTGTTTTCTAGAGCTGAGAGGTTTGGAAGAAAAACCCCTGATTAGCAGTATTAGCAGAGATTGCAAAAACTGAGTTTTTTAGGTTCACTCTGCTAGATTCAGCATTGCAAATACTGAAACAATGCTTCAGTATTTGTGTCTGCTTCTGATCATGCTGAAATAGAGGTTCTGCTGTTGTGCAGACTTCAGGAACCAAAATGTGTAACATACATTGAGATTTAACCTTGGAACTTTTTTCTTTAGCAATCAGATACTGTGACAGATGCCATCTTGTAAAACCAGATCGTTGCCATCACTGTTCTGTATGCGACAAGTAAGAAAACATTTTAAGTTCTGATGGGTTTTTTATCCTGACACATAAGCTTTTATTTTCTGTGTAGATTTATCAGGTTTAATGTTTTGACAGAGAACCCTTTTTTATTCCTTAGATTTTTTCAGGTTTACTTTTTATTAATTTATTTATTTCTAAGGAAGCCTGTAACTTACTCTGATTCATTTGATGGCTTTCTTGATACCAATATGGATTATGTGGTCGTACACAATCTTTATGTAATGGCTAAAAATTATGAATATTAATAAAGAACTTTCCTTAAGAATGTAACCAAAAATAGCTGATAAACAAAAATTTGCTTCTCTTGTTAGAATCTGAATAAAGATCACTACCCATCTCAATCTAATCATGATGTCACTTACATCTTATCCGAGGTAATAAACTTAATATCCTATTTTTCATTGGACAACTTTCAGGTTATTTTAAATTAAAGAAAAAAACAACCAAGTATCCCACATTTCTAATGAAGCCATAAACTAAAGGTTTTGTTTGTCTAACACAAACTTCATCCCCATATTGCCCAGAAGTCTGTTTTCTAATTTAATCTTTCTTTTGCCTGTTCTTGTCTCTGACCTTTCTTCAGTTAGCTTGGATGTCTGTGTGTTGTTCTGCTCTTGCCCCTAGTGATTTAAATTTCTAACTTTAAGGGGCTTCCTCGAAGGTTGATTTATTCTTATCTTTAAGGCTGTTCCAAACACTTTTCAGCTGATAATGGATCAAACTTTCCAACATAATTGCGAGGCAGAGAAGACTTTCCATTTTGTCCATCAAAATGGCAAAGGCACTGAAAGAGTAACTGAATTGAGTGAGAAAGAGGATTTTGGTTGCAATGTAAGAAAGGAACATTCTCGTATCTGAGCAGGGTTGAGAAAAAGGGTGTCCTGTGTTATCCTATGAAAGCTGAGTGAAATTTGCAGAGTGCCATTAGTCTTTGCAGACTACCTTACCTTTATCTTTACCTTGTCAAAATTCAGTTGCTTCAATTGTATCCAATTTTCTTGTGCATATTTTATTGTGGAGAATGATTAATTGCAAAAATATTTGGTATTTTTCTTGCAAGGTAAGTTCTTAGAAACCTCCTGTGCTTCTGCATATTTTTAATATAGAAGTAAATAATATACTTGAAAAGAAATTTAGTTGCATCACTAAGTGTATAGTAATTGAATTAACCCAGTTTCGAAGGCTCTCTTAGAGAATAAACAATAGTTGAAAAACCTATTCAGAATGAGAACCACATTCTAAAGCTGAAGTTCTAGATGGTGTTTCCTAAAATCACTGAGCTTTTGACAGAACAAACATTTTGAGTTGGGAGTTTACTGGTAGGTAACCTAGGTTATGCAAATTTAAATTGATATCTTTGTTAAATTGATTAGGTAAGCAGTAGTATATATGGGCAATTCTTAATCTGTATATGAAAAATTTAAATCTGACACCTAACTAGGCTTCTGACTTTTGTTTTTCTTTTGCCTTTTGTAATGCTTGGAACTCTGTTTGGTTTTTTGAAGATGCATTTTGAAAATGGACCATCATTGCCCTTGGTGAGTGTACTATCAGCTTTCTTTTTTAATTTTCTGATTTGGTGAAAAAACCGTTGGAATGGCCTGTTATGGAGGTGATGCTTTACTATTCCTAGAGTTAGTTTCTCATGTGAAGCTACTGGTTTTGCAGGATCATTTGAATCATTTACTGTTTGGCCTATTTTCCTATTTGTGAGATGTGGAAAGAAATTAATTTATTGGTTTTCTTAGACCTCTGAGTTAGGTAACTCCTTGTGTTTACTGGTAGGATGAGGCAGCCTTCTGATCAGTAAGACAACTTCTTAAGAATCGTATATTTTCTTCATGGACTTGAAGTCCTGCAGCTTTACTGTACTGAATGATGAAATACTGAACCTCCTAGGACAGCCTGAGTGACATTGCTGGAAACAGCAAGTTAACTCTCTTGGTTTTATGGCTTCTTTTTTTTCTTGCATTTTTTCTCCCCTCTCCCTCCCTTCTTTTGCTGCTGTGCAGCCTGCACGGTGGTATTGTTTCCCATCTTTATTCAGCAGCCCTTGGAACCAGTTGGTAGACAGGATGTATAAATAATTTTGGGTCAGTTTGGCAGGTATCTCAGAAATAATTAAAGATAACAGTTGTATAAGGTCCAAGTTAAGAGGACTGAGTGGTAGATGGCAGATCTTCACCACATGAGACTGATCAGAAGAATTTCCTGCATTGGACAAAATGAATGATAGATGACTCTAAGCAGCTTATTTGACCTTCTTAGATCAAATTCCTGGGCAGAGAAAACTCCATCCTGGGGGAGAAAGAGGTGCTGGGTTTACCCTTTTTGTCTTGGTCCTGACCACATGCTCTGACATGGTGCAGTTTAAGAATCTCCCCTTATTTTGCAGCTTCATGGTAGATACAATTGAAAGAAATATTTAATAAGTTACTTCCTATATATTGTCTTGCTGTAGGGAGATCAGCATGTGAAACTTGATGCTTAAGTGTTAGTAGTGTGCTTCTTAAAAAAATCAAACAACCAAAACCCATAAACAGATAAAATTGTTGAATAATGAACAAATTTCTTCTAAGAAAAAAGGCTGCATCCTTTTCCAGCCTTCATATCGCCATATTGTAGAAAGCTGTAAGAAAAATAGTTGTCAGGCTATTTCTGACAAAATATCAGTGAAAAGTTCCATTGTTGCTGTTATTTTTCAGTATTATACAAGCTTCTCAAAAGCTTTCTGGTATGTTTGGGATTTTTTGAGTTTTCTTGACATGAAAATGTCCTTTTTGACATGAAAATGTCCTTCCCATAAACTTAAATTTAATAATAAAAATCCATTACATCATATAAAAATTCATAAACTGAGCACTTAAGTGTTATGTAAAGAGGCAGTGAAGTGGTATTTTGCTAGGGCACAGACTTCGAGAAAAATAAACTCAATTTTCCTCTCAGTAGCATTTGCTTATTTTACCTGTTTGCAGACTCTTCCTATCCAAACATAAACATACCCAGTTTGAGAGTGTTTACATTGCTCATTGTTTTTAGTGGAAAAACAAGGGGTTCAGAAAGAAAAAACAGAAATGGAGAAGGTACATTAAAGATGTGTTAACACTTCTTGATGGAGGATTGTTCCTTTTGTGCTCCAAGTAACGGAAATGCACTAGAAAAAGAGGTATTACCTTGTTTTATTTTTCATAAGTTGAGTGAATGTCCACAGTTCTTGCTCACTCTGAAAAAAAATAACTATGTGGGAGTGATAAGAGAGTTTTGAAATATTCCAGAGTGCTGACCAAACTTCATAGTTGCCTTTAAGGGAAATATCACATGGCCTTACAAAAGTAAGGGTGCAAATCAGTATAATGAGTGGCTTTTAGTCCCCCTGAAAATACTGCTTTTCATGTTGAGGTTTTTGTTGGGAGCCAAGTTTGGTGGGAAGGAAGAACCAGTGTCCTGCTTAAGGAGATCAGGGAAACAGTAATGGGAATTACTATTTTAATATTCTGTTAGGAGAGGGATTTCTGGACAGAGGACAGGTTAAAAATAACCTTGGGGGAAAGGAAGATGAAGCATTTGGAAGGCAGAAGCAGTAAGATGGTAGTCATGCTCTATTCCATGTCAGCTGTTTTCTGCTTTTTGAAAGACTTTATTTTGGCTATAATTTCTGTGCTAATGGAAGTGCTGTGATAAATGAAATATTTATTGCTAATTGTCCTCTTAACTACTCCAGAAGGTTTAAGAGATGCAGAAATAAGATGCATTAGTGATTTCTATGCTAGTGCTCCTGCTACTTACACTACAGATGGAGCTAAAGGCAGGACAATGTCTCGAGGCACCAAATATATTATTTGTATGTAACAATTCTAATATTAATAAGGTGCATTAGCAACCCCTTAGGAAGCATTTGAAACATCTCTCTTTTGTCTTTCGAGTAATCTGAAAATAATTTAGGATCTCCTTAATTCTGTGATGCTTTTTGGTAACTGAGCTGCATCACATTCAATGCCTTGCAAGTTGTTTTGGGTTTTTTTGTCTGGCATTTTCAATAAACAAACCCTTGAGAGAGAAGGAATAGCTCTTCTTTTTGTACTTCAAAATTTATTTTAAATGTTATCTGTAATCCAGATTTTATCCTGGAGTGTTCTTTTGTACGACTGTTTCACTGCAGAAGCACGTCATTATTTAGCAAGTTGTCTGTACACTTACCAGTTTCAGTCTTCCTCAAAATGATAGACTTTCATTCTAACCACCATTCTCAAGCCTTATGATTTGATACTACATGTTCAGATAGCATAATTACAAAACCTTGGTGTTTACATCCTCTTTAATCTTTCAATGAACTATTCCAGTAAAAACTCATCAGTCTGGGGCCTTGGCAGAACTGTGGGGGATGGGATAATTTATGAAAATTTTTTTTTAATGTGTGTACCATATCTGGTAATGCAAAAGAACAATGAGAAATAAATCTGTCTTTGAGTCAAGGAGTTTAATCTCTGGTGAATAGCAATTTTGCTGGATATTTCTCTTCTTGCTAAACCATGTCATAAAAAAAAAAATAAATCATAAAAGAAATATCATTAAAGTAAAGTAGGGTTATAATTAAAACCTTGCATCTGAATTGCTTGTAGTTTATAATTGAATTGTTGACTTTGACACATTAATGAAGAAGAAATATGAATTAAAGAAGGTATATAGAATTTTTTTTTTATTCATGGAAAAAGTTACCTCGAAGTTAGCAGTGCAGTGATAACTTGGGTCAACTTCTTAATGTAACCAACTAAAAGACAAAAGAAGCTGCTTACCAATAATCAGTCCATGGGTAACACTCAATTATGTTTAATTTTAAATTGGATTAAAACATAACTTTCTTTATGTTCCATTTTTATTTTTACTTTTTTTTATCAGGGTGAACAACTGTGTAGGATTCTCCAATTACAAATTTTTTCTCCTCTTCTTGGCTTACTCTCTACTGTATTGCCTTTTCATTGCTGCAACGGATTTACAGTATTTTATCAGGTTTTGGACAGTAAGTACTCTACATACTGTCTTTAGGTATATGAAGTTACTACCGTGCAAGAAGTCTAAGATTGAAGGCTTTATGTAGTAATCTAGTATTTCCTAATTATAGGGTACAAAAGTTCTTCTAATAATCATAGCCCTCTATATTGTTTCTGTTTATCAATGGTTATGAAATTTCACTTATTCCCACATTATTTTGAAGCTGTGTAGAACAAGTACACAATTATTCAGAAAAAGTTTTTCAAGGGAAATTAAATTTTAGATAGATTTTGTTAACTTTCTTTAGTTTTAATTTTAAATTGGATTAAAACATAACTTTCTTTATGTTCCATTTTTATTTTTACTTTTTTTTATCAGGGTGAACAACTGTGTAGGATTCTCCAATTACAAATTTTTTCTCCTCTTCTTGGCTTACTCTCTACTGTATTGCCTTTTCATTGCTGCAACGGATTTACAGTATTTTATCAGGTTTTGGACAGTAAGTACTCTACATACTGTCTTTAGGTATATGAAGTTACTACCGTGCAAGAAGTCTAAGATTGAAGGCTTTATGTAGTAATCTAGTATTTCCTAATTATAGGGTACAAAAGTTCTTCTAATAATCATAGCCCTCTATATTGTTTCTGTTTATCAATGGTTATGAAATTTCACTTATTCCCACATTATTTTGAAGCTGTGTAGAACAAGTACACAATTATTCAGAAAAAGTTTTTCAAGGGAAATTAAATTTTAGATAGATTTTGTTAACTTTCTTTAGTGCTATACTTTGGTATGTAAAAGCTTTAAGAGATTTTCTAATATTTTAATATTATCATCTCTGTTCACAACTTAGTATTTTACTTTCTTAGATGTGCATTATTTATGCTATTATATGACTATTTTGAAAAGGCTAATTAAACAATATATTTTTATGTAAAGATTAATTATTCTTTTTTAAAAGACTGTTGGAAGTTTAGATCCAAATTGCAGGTTCTTGCTGTCAGTATTTATACTTTCTCAAGCAAGGGCCTATTTCTTTAATGTAGATGCTGTCAACAACCTACTTGCATGGTCATTTGTACATAGAGGGTACAGACCCTTGCTGCATGATACATTTGTATCTGAACTGAACTTGATGTGCCTATTCTGAATAAAGCATTATTTACAATCAAATTAAACAGCTATTTCCCCACTTCTAACAGCATGATTTTTTATTTTATTTTTAGAATGGCCTTCCTGATACTCAAGCCAAGTTCCACATCATGTTTTTATTCTTTGCTGCAGCTATGTTTTCTGTCAGTCTGTCTTCTCTCTTTGGGTATCACTGTTGGCTTGTCAGCAAGAATAAGTCTACATTAGGTAAGTAGATTTAATCCTTCTGTGTTCAAGAGCAACAAATAAATAATAGATGTATATTATAGGTATGAGGGTAATGGAGAAAGTGTGCAGTCTTACAGGTTCCTTGGATCCTGGGTAGAGGTGTTTGGGTCTGGCAATATTGAGTACTGACCCCACAGTTCTGCTGCTTCCTAGAATTCTGACTTTTTCTCCTGCCCAGAGTGGCGAAGCTATTAATGAACTTACCCTCTTTCCTCCCATCCACAGCTTATTAACAGAAATTGAATAAATTAAAAAAAAAAAAAAAAGAAAATTGAGATTACTTTGTAATAAATGTTAGATGCACTGATTGGTGCTTGCACAAGCAGGTGTGAAGTCTGCCCCCAGTCAGAGTTCTCTGAAGGGGTGTCCCAGTCAGGGCAGTGGCTTTGTGCTTTGCTCCCAACCTTGCTTCCTGCAGTACCCAAGTCCCTCTGTTCAGCTCAGCTAGAATTTCATTTAAATTGAATCTAAAGCTTAGCCTGTACTGGAGGCAAGGAGAGGAAAAAAAAATCTGGAAGGCAGGCTGCTTGTGGGTGTTGTTAGTTTTGATAAACATGAATAAGCACAAAGAGCCCATGCCAGAAAATTATCTGATACAGAAGAACAGACTTTAAGGCAGTACTCCTAGATTTAGTAGTAAATGAATGCAGAGATCTGAAAGGTGGTTTCACAGTTGTGATTCCTATCTGCCACATAATCATAGATCCATAAAAAGGACTCTGTGTTATGAGTTTATTTTTTAAAACCTCTTAAGAACATGAGCTGTGCCTCTACTATGAGTGTGTATAGATAACACCATTGAGTATCAGTGTTAAACCAGGATTCCCCCTCACTTGGATACATGTTTGGTTACAAAACTTACTAAATAAATAAATAACATGAAGGCACAGAAAATTTGCATGCCTGTTCTATGTTATATCCTGGACAGTAATAATACCAAGTCTCGGTATATTCACTGAAGTTTCCAAATCTCTAAAAGCTTTTCTGTTGATACAAGCTGAATTACAGTAAGGTAATGAATTTATCTAGTTTTCCCAGTTCTCGTGGGAGTTACTATGATGTAGATGATTAATGGAAAACTTCAAATAAATACCATTGGAAGAAAGCCTGTCTGCTTTAAGATTTCTCTACAGTTTGTTGGTTTCTTCAGTATGCTGAAAAATCATCTACTTAGAAATTAGTATTGGAGGAAAATTGTTCAATCTAGTTGAGAAAAGTTTTACTAGTGATGCTTAAATGAACAATTTAAATATTCTGTTTATAAACTGTTCTTATCATTTTAGTGTAAAAAAAATTGTTCAAAAATAACCATAATGCAGTACACTTGTAATTCAACATTTATTGGTTTTAAGCCAAACTGAATTCCATGCATTTAAGATGCAGTGTTTTCTGTACACTTAAGCTACTAAAAAAGATCTGTTTGACTCTTCCCATTTTACTTTGGGAGATTGCTTAGTATGTGAAACCCTGAACATGAAGTAGTTAGGTAATGAAGCCATAGAAATTTTCAGTGTGACTGTGCTTATCTGAATCATCCTGAAAGCTCATCTCCTAGCCTAACATGGACATCTAAAAGAGTATCTCTGTTTTCCTTTCTCTCATCTTTAAGACTTTGTAACTAACTCATACTACATGTTGAAGGTCATTTCCAGCATTTCATAGCTAAGGATTTGCTGCAGGACAATCTCTGCACGGTTCCAGCATGGTTTGTGTGACCTGTACTGTCAGGACATCAGGACATGGTTTGCCTACTATATATAGCCAATTAAGGGAATAAAATGGGTATCTGTCACTTGTGGGAAGTGCGTGAGTTTTCTGCTTCAGGCACTTGGTAACCCCTGAAGCTATATTTAGTTATCCAGAAATTTAGGTTGGAAATCCATGGGGAGCAATTTGGGTCTCTACAAGTAAAGCACTTTCTTCTTGCAGCTGTAAAAACACACAGTAATTTCATACCCCAGGATGTGAAAAGCAAGTCTTACTCCTAAATTGGGTTAAGCTGTTCTTCTTTTCGATTACTCTTTCTGCAGTAAACCCTTCATTAGGCTTATCTTTCTTGAACACTATTTCTGGTATAGTCACTTGCTGAAATCTTCATACAACATAACACTTCTCCTTAAAAAGTTAATATCCTCCCTCTTCCTTGCCTTGATTAGGAAGGAGGGTGGAGGAGACTTCCACCTTTCCTCAGCCACAGGACTTCTCTGCACATACAGGGACTGTGTAGAACTGACTGTGGCTTTGAGGAGTGGCTTCCTCAGGCACCGGGCAGTACAGCCCTTCCTTTTGGATGATGGGATCATCAGTGCAATTGCCTAAATAGCAAAACTTGTGAAACTTGAACCTGCTATCTTGTGAAGGACTTATTTTTTTTCTTTTAAGAGGTATTCAGAGCTCCCATATTTCGTCATAGAACAGACAAGAACGGCTTTAGCTTGGGCTTCAGCAAAAACCTAAGGCAGGTGTTTGGTGACGAGAAGAAATACTGGTTGCTGCCTGTGTTCTCAAGGTATGCTCAATTCTTTACATTTTGTTTCCTGAAACTGTTGTATTATCCAGATCTACACAATTTGGGGGTCTGGATTTGTTGGGGTTTTATTTTTTATTTTCTAAAAATAGATATTATAATATTCACTTCAATGATGGGATCATCAGTGCAATTGCCTAAATAGCAAAACTTGTGAAACTTGAACCTGCTATCTTGTGAAGGACTTATTTTTTTTCTTTTAAGAGGTATTCAGAGCTCCCATATTTCGTCATAGAACAGACAAGAACGGCTTTAGCTTGGGCTTCAGCAAAAACCTAAGGCAGGTGTTTGGTGACGAGAAGAAATACTGGTTGCTGCCTGTGTTCTCAAGGTATGCTCAATTTTTTACATTTTGTTTCCTGAAACTGTTGTATTATCCAGATCTACACAATTTGGGGGTCTGGATTTGTTGGGGTTTTATTTTTTATTTTCTAAAAATAGATATTATAATATTCACTTCAGGAAAAAACAGTTCTTAAAAGCATTTTTTTTTTTGTAAGTATGACACTAATTATGAATTTTTCAGTCTAGGGGATGGTTGCTCCTTCCCAACTTGCCTTGTTAATCAGGATCCTGAGCAAGCTTCCACACCTGGTGGTCTTAATTCAACATCCAAAAAGTAATCTCCTTTTTGTTACGTTTCAATTAGACAATATTCTATGTTTTCCTGTGTTCAGTTAAAGAGAACCATGTAGAAGATACTTAAAAGTGGTAAGCAAATGAGGAATATCCTATTAAGAGATTTTAATCAGCTAAGTTGTAATTCAGCCAATCCTCAGACTTCTATTTAAATTTATGGAAATAAGTTTGGGATCCCCTCCCTCCCATGTGCTTTGTCTCAGTTCAGTGGCATCTGAGGACCTAGATTTTCCATGCCTGCCTAAACAGTATCAGTAACTTTCTGTTCTGCATACGTACGAGGCCATGGATCGGCCTGCAGGACAGATGTGTTACCTTCAAGGCTTTTGTGGGAGGCCTTGAGTATCTGGTGAAAGGTACTTCACACAAGGGAATCCCAGGTCTCAGCACTTGTGCCAGAGAACAGGAAGGTGAATGTTAAATGCTTGTGTTTTGCTTCTGCTGGTAATAGAAGACATTTTCTTAATCCTTATCCTTCACTGCTATGGTATCTTGGAAGTGTGAAAAGTATGCGGATGTCCCTTAAACTAAATACAGTAGCTTAGAATTTCATATTGTAACTTTTTGCAACATAAACTAGAACACAGGAAGTTCCACCTCAACATGAGGAGAAACATTTTCTGTGAGGGTGACGGAGCACTGGAACAGGCTGCCCAGAGAGGCTGTGGAGTCTCCTTCTCTGGAGACTTTCCAAACCTGCCTGGATGCATTCCTATGTGGCCTGCCCTAGGTGGTCTTGCTCTGGCAGGGGGTTAGACTAGATGATCTCTAGAAGTCCCTTCCAACCTCTAAAATTCTGTGATTCTATGATACTTTTGGTTCAGTACACCTGAATATGTGACTAAGAAATGATAGTGGAATCTTATTGGCAACCTTTTATTCATAAAAGAAACACATTTCAGATAGCTGTTTATTGATATTTTAGGTCTTACTCTACTGATCCAAAGCTTACATTAGGTAAGAGATTTTGGAGATGTTCTCTCCACTATTTATCATGTAAGGTTTGTTTCAGTGGGAGTGAATACGGATAGAGTGCATTTGGAACTCAAGTATGTGTATTAATATATAATAGCTGTCAAAGAAAAATACCAAAATGTTTCCCTGTTCTGTGCTAGGGAGTTGTTTTTAGATTGCACTTCCATCTGTAACAACTACAGTGTAATGACAAAAGTGTAGTGATTCATCAGAAAAGCAGCAAGGCAAGGTAGTGAAAATACAGTGTAGGATAAACTGTGTGCAGTGTGTGGTGGGAACATAAAAATTACTGCAGTTTACAACAATGTTGTTTTTATTGGCATTACAGCGAGAACCACCTGTTCCCTGCAAAGCCGTTGCGCGATTCCCAGAGCCACCTTCTTACGGATACACCGTCTTGGTCAGAAAGCAGTGCAAAGGCTGAAAAGGGCAAAATAGGTAAGGAATTGATTTATGCTGCAATGACTTATTTTGTAATAAACTAGTTTTGGAGGATGTAGCATGAAAATCATCAGGGCCACTTGGTTTGTGTTAATGAACCAAAATTTTAAAAACATGTTTGTAGGAAGTTCCATGTCTCAAGCTGCTGTCCCCTTCCCAGTTAAACCTGACCAAGTTATACTGAGAACACCACCACCAGTAGGTGCTCTTTGTCTTTCTGGCTGAGCCTGGTAATTCTTTTGGGCACTAACTGCTTATACCAGAATATGATGACATCTTATGGTAACTTGGGAAAAGCCATGTAATGGACACAGGACAGGAATAAACTTGGTAATTGTGGAATTAAATGATGATGGATTGATAATTAAATGTTGTATTATTTGCTGAAATAGACATGAGACCTTTTCCTGTGGAAGTGTCATTTTTTTGTCTTTTAAAGGTATGAGCAATCCTGCATTAACCTTGGAAAATGAAACCTAATTTCCCTTCAAAGAAACACCTGAATATATAGGAAAGGTATGTTAATATTCTCTGTAATTAATATTAATCCATTATTCCTTACCACTTGGAAGAATGCACAAAAGAAAATTACTAAAGCAATTCCTACTTGTTTTCTTTTCTTCGGTTTTTTTACCATGAAGTAGTAGCACATTAATTCATAGCTTTAAACTTAAACCTCCTATTTCTTGATATGTCATGTTTGCAAAATAGTTTACTCTTTATACCCATTACTTTTAGGTAATATTCCAAAATATTATTTGTATTGTTCTCTTTCTTTAGAAAGATAATGAAATTTTGACTATTCAAGCTGTCCAGCAAATATTTGTAAAGTTAAGTTTGAAAATTAAGTTAGTTCTTAACACTGAGCACAAAGATCATAGCTTGGTCTGCTAAAGCAGGTAAACATCTATCACATGATGAAGGGAAAAAGAAATTATTCTAATATGTAAGCTATTAGCAGTTTGTTCTGTGTCAGGTACTGACCTGCATCCTATTTAGTAACAAAAAAAGTGCTGCCTGCTGAAGACAAAAGGTGTCCATATGACTTCCTGAGTATTTAGTCAATTGTTGTCAAAGAGTTGAGGGTTTTTTTGTTTCTTGCATTGGTATCTTGGAACATAGACTTCTCAGAAGGCAGGTTTAAGAAGCAGCTAGTAAATTCTGTTATGTACATAAGAGGAGGAGACCTTAATATTACTGGGTTGGGGAGAATGAATACTATCAATCGTATTCACTTCAGTATTTGAAGATTTCTAACTCAATTAAAGCTTACAGAAATCAGCTATTTCATATATAAAGCTGGATTTTAAAAATGGCACCAACCCTGAGAATTTCAGCATACTGGATAGTTTACAGTTTTCCAACAACATTGGAGGAGCTGTTTCAGCAAGGAAATTTCTATCTCTGCTATTGGAAGCACCCTTTCAGTCATCCTGAAGCTGTGTCTCAAGTGGTTATCTTTCATTTGTGCCTCCTGGACATGCTGTCCTAGCTCTCGGGTTGCTCTCAGTTAGTCCTGAAGGAAGTGGAAGGCCTGGAAAGCCATCAGAGACGTGTAGTGATTGTTACTAGATCCATCAGGCATGGCATTGCACTGTCAAAGCAGATTATAAAAATGGTGAGTGTGCAGATACAATAGGTAGCTTGTAGCTTATGCCAAAAAGGTCCCAGAAGTTCAGTCGGATCCATCAGAGAAACTAGAAAATTATTGACCTTTACATTCTGGTTTTGTGTGAAGTGGTGAATGAAGACACAGATGGTTCCAGATATAGGTACATGCAAATTTGATTATGGTGTGAAGTGTTAAAGTGTTGAAAATGTGGGTGTCAGAGTTGGAGGCGAGAAAATGGAACTCGGCCCATGTCTGCAGTTTTAACTGTTCTGTGTTCTTCTTTAATAGAATCTAAAAATCTAGCCCTAACCCTTTGTTCAAAATCTAAAATTATATGCTTTCGCCCTGTTTAATCCATCAGTTGTTTCAACAAAACAGCAGCTTCCAGAAAAGGAGTTACTCAACTTCAGTTAGTTCAAAGCTGTTAAGCTCAATGAATGTCTCATACTCTTTTTTGGTTGATACTTTTTTCTTTTAGTTCACTCAGAGAAAGTTACATTTAGATTTGTGTTGCTATGGTCTGATAATTTCTGTAGCATGAGCGTAAGTGCCAGTTTAGTTGTACTCTTTGCTCTGAGGTGTTTCTATGTGGCACTTAAGAGTTTCTGGACATGTAACGAAAAAAACCCCACATTACTCTGTGTGTGTATGTGCATATATACGTAGACACACCTGGCATACAGTTGCTGGAATAAGAGCCCCTATATTAAAAATGTTATTTTGTAACTACTTTGATTTATTATAATTTTTTGTCAGTATTGAGTTTTATTTATTCCTAGGGAGTGAATAGAATAAAGATGCTGAAGTCACTACAACAAAACCAACCAATTTCAACTTTAACATAAAAAATAGAGCGCAGATCCCTTGCCAGTATGTTAGTAATTTGAATTTCTGTCCCAAGTAAGGTTATGGTCAATATCCTGTATCCTTTAATCCTTTATAGTTAATCAGAGGACTAATTACTGAGAGTGACAGATATGGTTTACAGTAATAGAAATTTGCTTTTTACTGATGTAGGTACCTGAAAGTACTGTAAAAATAGCTCACTTCATTTTAGAAACAGGTGGCCTGATGGCTGTGTAGTCAGTATTTAATCACTATCATCCTAATGGACTAGTAAGTGTGATCAGTCTTCCTGTATCCTTCTTCAGTGTGGGATTTTCATTCAGCTGTTGCTCACTTTCCTCTTTGAGTTGACGAGACCTGTTGCAATAACTTGATTTTTAAGTATTCATAAATTCTAATAATGTAGTTTGTGATGTATGTTCTATTCCAGTTCAAGAAAAAAACTATTGTTGGAAGGAAGATGTATTCTTCCAAATATCAGCCCAGTTGGCCAGCTGCTCCTGTCTGCTCCTGTGTGGATGTACTCAGAAAACAAACTGACAGATGATTAGCTGTCTCCATGTCACTGCTTAAAACATGAAACTAAACATACTACTTCTGAACCATATAAAGAATGTTTCAACTTAAAATTACTGTTTTTGAATGGTGAATGATGATTCTGAATATTAGGAAATGGAAAAAAAAAAAAGAAGGGGAGTCTGAGTTTACTATTATAAAATTCAATGGCTGGTCTTAATTCTGTATTCAGTACAAGGAAAATGGGACCTCCTTATGGATAAGTCCATGTTCTTGCCTTGGTTTTGAAAAAACTACCCTTTAATTCAAATTGCTGTAAGTAGTTGACTTAAAAAAATAATTTCACATTTTTCCACTACTATCTTTATAAATTGGGAGAACAGCTAGTTTTGCTTACGAATACTTTAGTGGCTTGGTGGGCTATATTTTCTTTTGAGCGCTTGGTAAGCAGTCTTTGAAGATAAGGAGACCCAAGTGAAGTGTCTGACTCTTTTTTGAAAGCATCATTGCAAAAGCTCCAATTTACTTAAGATGTGCATTACCAATAGTTTGGAAAGATGAGGGGGGCGGAAATAAACCTCCTTCGTTAATTGAATGCTACATTGGTCACTGGTAAGTGGAGCGATAAAAAGCCTGCATTCAAATGGGTAATACGAAAATGAAGCTGACCAGCTGGGGATTGTGATGAGAGTGGCACAGGACAGTGCTACGCCAAGGGGGATTGTACTGTCCAGTTTGGAGCTGTTATCCCCTTCAGAAAACAAATGTTAGCACTTCATTGATCCAAAAGGCTTTTCACCAACCTGTGTTCCTGAGGCTCACAATCTTAAAAAATCCTAGTTTCTTCTTAATCAATAATTGTCTCAGATTTCTGTTTTCACTTGTTCTTTAAGACACTGCCTTTCTTACTGCATAACCAAAAAGCTAAGCTGCTGCATGAAGGAGACCCCCTTTGATTAAGTTAGGAGCCGGCAGCTTGCTTAGGATCAGAGTTTTCCAGCCAAATAATACAAGATACATCAACTTTCAAAGGCAAGGAAGTTTTAGCAACACAGATCTAATTGTCTTGTGCCTTTTGTATACACTACATATATGTATCAGTGTTTACATTTAAATGCAAATTGTTATTCTGAAAACAACTTTAGGAAGAACTTAGTTTATGCTTTCTCAGTGGCTAGATAAAAAGTCTAGTCCAAAAAAATAAAAGTGAAAACCTCTCAGACTAAGCTCAGTTCAGCTAAAGCAGGAAAGGACTTCTGTTACTGAACCTGAGTCTCACTTAGCAGGTTGGTTCACAGCGTAAAGGTTCCAGTTTGTTTAGAAAATTGGCAGCAGGACTAAGTAGTGGGTTTCTAAAAGCAAAAATCTTCTAAGTTACTCTTCTACAGGCAGGAAACTTTAAAATTAGTCTCTCCTAGGTTTACAACTTAAGTGGTAGCTGTTGGAACACAAATGGGGGGGGTGGATATTTTTTTGTCTTTTTTCTTATGAGAATACATATTTACTTATTTTTTTCATCTAAAAATGTTACCAGCCTGGAAAAAAAACCTTTCTTGCCAGAAGTGCCAGAGTATGGGTCCCTTGATGTAGAACAACTTTTTTAAACTAGCATGAAGGTAGCATACAGTTTACATTATGCCTGCAGACATCTACCAACCAAAAGTTTTTCACAGCTATTTATTCAGTGTTTTTCTGTCAGCTTACCTTGTATTAGTGTTTGTTTAAAGGCTAACTTGTCAAGGGTTAAGTGGGAGAGGGAAAAATGTTTTTAACACTTCAGGTTCTCTATCTGTATAGTATTGGTTTTTTACAAAGTTTAGTCACAGGGTGGTTTGTCATGGAGCATGCGTTTGAAAATACTGAGTGAAAAGTTGAAAATTCAGCTTCAGTGTAACTTGCTCCGTATTTTTATGTAAATAAAAAGTACTGCTTTCTTCCCCAGCAAACTCATAATTGCTCTCTCCGATAGAGATATCAGTCTCCCTGACTGTCCAGGGCTCTGCAAACTCTCAGCAAGATCTTGGGGATCAATGTAGTGAAAGGACAGAGATAAGGGGTCAAGAAATGCCTGGCTTCTCTCTCTCAGAAGTCACACTTAGCAAGCACAATTGCCCTAAATAATCTGCAGCTTTGATGCAGCCAGAAACCAGCAGAGGCACAGCAAACCTATGGTGATGGAGGGAGGAGCACAGAAAGAGAACTGAGGGTAGCTCAGAGGTAAATGGTCAGCAGATCTAAGCCAGGGGGCTGTAGCAACACCTGCCCCCATGATGGGTATGAGCTGTGCCTCTCTGAAGAGCACTAGCAGCAGGCTTGTGAGTGTTCCTGGCAGTTCTCAGTAGCTAGAGCATGGACAAAAGTGAGTTAATCATGCTCCAAAGTATAAATTCTGATACAGCTGTATTCTTGGCTTTAAGCTCTTAATACTTTCAATAGCAAAGTGGAAAATAGTCTTTTGACATATTGTCATTGATGATATTGCAATGCACATGGGAAACTTCACAAAGAGGTAAGGGGAACAAAGACAAGTGTTGTTTGTCTGCTTGCACTGATTCTCCTATTCTTTATATTCTTGCTAGGCACTTTACTACAGCCTTTTGTGTAGTTTCTGTCATTTTTTTTTAAAGACTGCTTTTTACCTACTGTATAGTTACTACTTTTTTGCTAAAAGAATAACAGCCCTGATATTTGTCTAGCAGTATAAAATGCATCTCAAGCATCAGTGGAAATTGGATGAGTTCTGCTGACTGTAGAGTTCAATTTATTTTGTGTACACATATACTCATACAAATCATAGTCCCCCACATGTATGTAACAAGCTTCCTTAATTTGTAGCTTACAACAAAACCAGTATGTGTCTGCAGCAGAAGGGGTCCACACATTCTCTATTAGTTGATGTATTGGTGACGGAGTGCTCAAAGTCTTCACAAAGAACTATTGTTAAGAAATGGAACACCTAGATGTTGGTGAGCACCTCCCACTGAGCAGCTAGATACAGCTGCTGCTATGAACTTTAACTTGGGACAAAAAACACTGTACAGTATAAATCACAGATCAAAAGCTCTTTAGTAACCTACAGCTGTGGACAGGTCATGAAACCAGTATTTTTAACTGTTTGTGTACTTGAAATCTGAGTCTTCAGGCAAGACTTCAACATAAGTTGGTTGGCGGAAGCAAATTTGTTTTAGTGCATGGGGTGCTGTACATGTTAATCCCACATTTGGATTGAAAGAGTTCTTGCCCCAATTCAGTTGAGTGGTATGGTGGATGGAGGGTGGGAAACATGTTTCTACATAAATTTAGTGTTTAACTTTGCTATTTGTTAATGTATTGTTCATATAAATAAATGCTTCATGTTCAGCAAGTCCTGCACAGAGTAGTCATTGACACACTACCTTCAGTTTTACCAACAGTGTACCTGAACAGCAGAACAGCTGTTATCACTACTGTGGCTTCATTAACAACATACCTGCTGTAAATGTCACCCTTCGACAGAGATCTTTACTTTTTCAGGTAAGCTTTCCCTCCCTAGTTTGTTAGATCTGTAGCACCTCACAAAGCACCTATACTGTGAAACAGCATCAGAAGGTACCAAAGGTACTTTTTGGTCTTTCAGGGTGAAACATTCCATGTCTTCATACTGGCAGAGCAGACACAGCTGTGCTCCTTGGGATACTGTTGAAGGTCAAAAAGGTGAAATTTTGTCCTAAAGAGAGGGTTCTTAGAACCTCTTGACCTCATAGAGCTGAGGAGTCACAAGTATAAGAAGTACTCAGTGAAGTTGTCATCCACAGCAACTTTGCTTCATGAGGGCTCTTCAGTTGCTCCCATGTCTGATTTTTCTGATCTCACTTTCCACTCTGCACTTTGCTAAGTCTCCCCTAGGAAAGTGCTGGACCACCTCTGGTGCATTCCCTCAAAACATGCAGGAAGAGTTACAGAAAGATCACATAATCATGGAACGGTTTGGATTGGAAGGGACCTTACAGATCATCTAGTTCCAACCTCCCTGCATAGGCAGGAACACCTCCCACTAGCCCAGGTTGCTTCAAGCCCTATCCAACCTTCCCTTGAACCCTTCCAAGGAGGAGGCAGCCACAGATGAAAGTGGCGTTTACCTCATCCAGTTCAGACATAACCTGCAGTACGTGCTCTGAGCTTTTCCCATTTTTTGTTTAAAACCTTTCCATAAGAAATTTTACTAAACCATATATAAACATTCTCATCCAAAACAACATCATCAAAAAAAGAACATGCTGCTAGCTGTATGGGTGATGGGGTGTCTTTGTTACCACTTGCAGCTATCACTTTTCCATCAGTGATGTGGTAAAAGCACAGGAAAAGCAGCAGCCTTCTGGGTGAAATTCAGAGCAAGTAGCATCTGATGTAGCCTTGCCTACTTTCCCATCACATTTTTTTATTTGTTCCCTTTTTAAATGTTTGCTCTCCTCTGCTTCCCTTCCCTCCCAAAGCAATCCAGATGGGAAAGTCATTCATTTGACATGTCTACCAAGATCTACATCCTCTTTATCCCTCTTTTTTCCAAGGTTTGTTTTAGATTGGCAATTCATTCATTTCTCCAAGTTTTCCTAATGGCACCTGTGGCAGGAGAAGTCCCCCACCCCACAGTGGCACAGTACTGGGGCTGTGGTGGCTGGCTTGGCAGGAAGCATGTGTGCTGTCCAGTCACCTACACAGAGCACCCTCAGCCATGTATCCAAGATACCTCAGCCCAAAGCCCACCTTAGCCAATAAGCCCACCTAGGAGACCCCACAACCAAGAGATGACCACAGTTCAGATCTGACCCAGGTTATAAAAGAGGGCCCCTGCCAGAGACCTTGAGTGGTTCTCCTTGGAAGCAGCAGGTCTGTCATCAGAAGCCCTCCCTTTAGATCAGGACACATCCAAAAGTAACCACCCTGGGATTGAGCGTCCTCTGCCTCACAGGTGAGCACTATGCACATTTTAAGTCATCATTTCTAAGCTTAGTAACATACCAGGTACTATTAGTTCCCAACTGACATCCTGAACCTTAAAGTTGTGTCTGCCAAAGCATTTATAAGATCCCTGTTTAATTTGACCATTCTATGTTTTTTCTAACACCATTAAGTGGA